ACCAACCCTTCACATAAACCGGACCTTTGAAAAAATGCTAGTGAGGCCTTAATACGAAAATGTACCTCACCCTTGCTGGGCATGAGTCACCCTCAAGCCTTCTGTCAAACGGCTTAATTACTTTTAGCAGGTGGTCCTTTGAAACAGCCAGCAGACCCTACAACCACGCATCATAATAGGAGCTCCGTATAAGCCAATTTTGACCCAAAAGACACTACACTTCAAAAGCTATTGTGAAACTTTACCGGCTTTATGTTTTGACTTCCTGTTTGCTAGAATGCTAAACATTCCTCTTCTATCTAAAGGCAGCAGATGTTCTCCGGGCCAGGCGTTTGCGTGGCAGTGGAACAGAGGCAGAGTTGTTGTAAATGTGGGATATGTGCAGAAGGTCTGAAGTAGGAACGTTAATCTGAAATAATGGCTACAATGACATCATTAGAAGATGTCCTGACAGAACGCACGCTGACATTGGACCGTCTTGATTACAAAGAGCTCATCCAGAGCAGATTAAAATGAGCCAATTTGACAATGAAGAGAGAGAGAGAGAGAGAGAGAGAGAGAGAGAGAGAGCTCAGCATCACTGGCCTGCACTTCGGGGGCCTCAGCAACTGCAGCTACAAATTGGGTTACATCTGATGTTATTTGGCGAATGGTTTAATTTGATGCGATTTACAGTACGTGAACTGCAGGAACGCCATTCTTGGAGCAACGTGAGGTCAAGTGCTTTGCTCAAGGGTACCAAGTAGGGCTGCATGATTTGGGCAAAAAATGTAATGGGTAATGTGTCAAATGTCACCTGACAAAACCTGAAGAAAGTGTTAACAGCAGTATGAACTGATGCCAATATATATGGATTTTAATGGTAACCAGCTAACCTAGCTAGTTGTTGTTTTTTTTATTTAATTTTAATATTCGAATGCTAGTGAGAAGAAGAAAAATGAAAAACTTCTCCATTCTGCATACGTTATGGGCAGCAGTTTGGTATCTCATTTGAAGGCATCTTGAATAAAAGAGCTCCATATTTAACAAAGCACACACAAAAGACCCGAACTGGAAGTGACATGACCTGTTTTACAGAATACGGAAGTATGTTGCGTATAAACTACATTGAGATTCTTCTGCTACAAATTGTGGTCGTAATATAAAATATGATTTTAAAAAATCCGGGTTTGCGTGCTTTTTGTAGGGCTGCATAATTTGGCTAAAACTGTGCAATATTATATCAATACATTTATAAAATAATAATAATTATTATTATTATTAAATAAAGACAAGAAATATTCTGAGTATTAAAACATTTATATTTCACAGTAAAATTAAAAACTAATTATTTATTTTACAAATTACTAATAATAATGGCGGTCTTAATATCCTCATTTACAAACGTTGCACCATCAAACTTTTATTTTTACGGAAAACCACAGGGATCCCTTAAAGCTTCTCTTTTGTTGACAAACGCTTCTCTTTAGTATGGGACGATGGTTGGCACATGTTGCTTTCCAGAATGCACATTTAAACGACCCAAACTCAGAGTAAACGCAGAGATGGAGTTTGTGTGGAGCAGAATTTACTGAGAACCGAGTTGCTTTGAGACACTGAAAACACCGGTGGATAATGAGCAGCTCATGTGTAAAAACACAGTGCCGTGCTTCACTCTGAAACACTCAGCTCATTTTTTAAAATTTTTTTTTTTATAAATCACAGCCTTCGTGATTTGATAATCGCACTAAGCCATGTTGTAATTTTGGTTTTATTTTGATTAATCATGCAGCCCTAGTGCCATATCGGTGTGCTGTGATCCCATGAACCTTTGTGATATCAGCACACATCATTCAGCACTGGCACAGGATAAATGCCACAACTATGTGAAAGAAAAGGCTCAGAGTGCTTTAAAGTTAATCTGGTTGCACCGGAGATAAAATATAGCCTAACTATAAACTATAGTGCTGACTAATCAATGATTTCCAGCAGGTGTTGTCATAACCCAGAGGAAGAGCGTGAGATTGTCGCATCCCGCTATAAAAAAAGACAGATTCATGTGGTAATTGGCATTGAGCCAGTGAAGGTCATGTTAATCCTGCAGACCAAGATCAAATAGGATCAAACAGACTCATTCATTTCAAGGGGTCATATGATGCGATTTCAATTTTTCCTTTCGCTTTGGAGTGTTACAAGCTCTTGGTGCATAAAGAAGATCTGTAAAGTTGCAAAGACTAAAGTCTCAAATCCAAAGAGATATTCTTTATAAAAGTTAAGAGTCAACCACGCCTACCTAAAACGGCTCGTTCTAACACGCCCCCACATGTCTACGTCACGATGTGGGAAGATTTGCATAACACCGCCCAAATGTTCACGCAAAGAAAGAAGGCGTAACTTTTATTCTCGCTGTAGTATTGTTGTTTCCGCCGCCATGTCGTAAAGACGCTGTGTGCTTCGTTGTGAAAGCGAAACTACTTTGTTTGGCCTTCCAAAAGAGGACACAACTAGAAATCAGTGGTTAAGTTGTATTTACAACACTGTTCCAGAACAGTTCAACCCAAATATTCAGATGTGTGCAGCGCATTTTATGGAGGATGAGGACTGTATCCTGAACCAGTAGCCTATGCAACAAATGCCTCGTTTGTAATGGGCTTTATTGGTTTTGTCTCGTCGTGCCGGGAAACGGCATCACAGTATGGTAAGGGGCGTAACATTTCTGTCTCACGCTTGAGGTATTTGGCCAATCACAACGCACTGGATAAATGGCCAATCAGTGTATACCTCGCTTTTTCAGACCGATGGGACGTTTTTCGATACTCGATGGTATCGAGGCAATTCGGTCGGTGCCTAAAAAGCATCGAACTCGATACCCAGCCCTAGTCATATGACCCTTCAGGCTAAAGTCAAATGACTTTTTTTATTGTTGTTACATGCTTGAATAGATTAATCCTGCTCTGAATTTAGTCAGAATCCATGACACAATGAATTTAATTACCCACAATAACAACCATATAAACAGCTAAAATAAAGACACTGATAAAGGATCATAAGTGTTTTATCATAAATTGTTACATTTCTCTGCATCAAATATTAATAACAGTGCAGTAAATGGGGGATCTAAGAAAAAAGGGGGGGGAAAAGAACTAGTTATACTAGTGGTCGACAGATATATATCATATCAGCAATGAATGAGAGGACGCTATCAACTGATTTTTGGCAAATCAGCATATATAAATATATATATTTTTTTTTTTTTTTTCCTGCATCAGCCAATCAGTTTTTCTATTTGGCTGTTAAGTGTCAGAAGTGAGACTTTTATTCTGTCAGACATTCTCTGTCTTCATTAGTTTAGTATTTTTGTTGAACAGTTCAGTCTAATAAATTATTAACAGAAATATTAAACATAGAAAGTAAATGGTGTATATGAAAAAGCATAGTGTTTGCCTTTCCATTATTAGTAACAGAAAAGCTAGCGCAATAATGCTTTATATACCGTCGGCATTCAGCGAATGCACATTTCATTTAAGCAAGTCTTTGAATTTTTAATAAATATTTAATTCCACAAAAATTCCAAACAAATCCTGCTGTTAGATGCTCTGAAGTGTGCATTTTTAGTCATGTTTTTAATTTGTGGAAAATTCAGTTGAATCCTGAAAAATTCCAAAATAAGGGAGCTGCTATCAAAAGAATAAATAAATAAATAAATAAGGGTTTGAGACTTTTTCTTTTTTTTCCAGTTTTTTAAAATTATTTCTACTTTAGTAAATATTATGTAGTAGTAATTTATTTTTATTGCCATGTCAGCATCTAAGGCTATCTTCTTGGCAAAACTGACTTGCAATAATACAAGAGTTAAATAAACACAAGATACAAACCAAGGAAACAGAAAAAAAATGCAGTTAAAGTTATACAATTTACTTTTTAAATTAACATATGATAAAAAAAAAAAACTTAAATCTTTTCTGGTAAAATCTTACTAAACAAGTCTGTAAATATTATGTAAAATAAATATAAATTTCATTACAGCATGTGTTATTTACTATCTTAAAAAATTAATCTAATTAAAATGTGTGATATCATACCTTGTCAGCATTATGGAGTTACAAGTACCATGATACTGCCATTAATTATTTCCAGATATTACTTTTTAAGCATCCAATAAATACAGTCTATCCTTGCTAATATTAAGGTCGAATGATTTTATACATAAACAATATAACGTTAACTTGTTTAACTGCACTGACATTTATTTTAAAATGACCTTTTTATGAGTTAGCATGAAAAACGAAAAATAACATCCCGACAGTTAAAAGTCCAAAAGTGTTCCTGTACATTCAGATAAATAACTCGATTCTCATCTGATTTGAATCATGTCCACAAATAAAGTACAGAAACAGTGTATTTGATCTGAATTGATCAGAACAGGTTGCCACGTAAAATTGTTCTTGATTAAAATCCACTCATCTATAATAGAGAATATATATAGAGCAGTGTTAAAATCCGATTTGACGTGTGCTGACTGACACTGCACAGACTTTTAGAAACGAAAGTAGAGAGCAGTCCTCAAATACCTGAATTATGACTCTAATCTGAATCATGTCCATGAATGAAGTGATGTGGATTAAATCAAGCGGTCTAATCTGTGCTGCTAACACATAAACTATGGCGCACACTTTAGCGCCTCCCTAAACTCACTCCAGCAGGACACTTTCCAGGATGTGTGACAAGTAAACAGTCGGGCAGCACACATGACAACACGTTATCCGGTTTATTAATCACATAAACCACCGGACTCGAGTGGTTATTAACGTATTTAATCTGTTGGAAGGACTTGTTGACTGATAGTTAGCTGAGCTGTTGCTAGCACTCTCCTGCTAGCCGCTGAGCCCAATACTGACACGCACTTTCATATCTCTCCCTACATTTATTTAAACGCGAATCCCTGGCTCATGGTGCGATTTAACGTATAGAGCGTGGTGGTGTAATTTCTCTGTGTTATTTTGGGGTCGGTCATCGCTCACCTCTTTGGGCACAAACTGCTTTTCTTCGCTGGGCACCATTTCCATCTGATCCTCCAGCCGCGGTCCGCTGTCAACAAGAGCTCTGCGAGTCGCTTTCGGACACCATTCTGAGTGTGTTAGGCAAAACCAGGCGATGTCGAAGAATCAACTTTAGGGCTAAAGGGCTCTTAATCCAGTTTAATCTGTGTTACCCTCTTTCTGCTCGGACTGTGAGCAAAACAGCAATCAATGGAGGAAAAATGGCCGCTACGCACTTTCGCGAGACTTCACATCAATCTGCGTCACTTCCGACAACACTCTTGTCTGTGTGCATTATGAAACAGCTGAAAGTGTAAACTGGCAGTTAGTGAAATGAAAATATTGTGATGTAATTCGAGACTTTGCATGATAGTTATGAAATATAAAACTTATCCCGAGAACACACTTCAACCTTTTGATTAAAGTTTGCTGTCATTATATAACTTGACCTTTGCCTTCATGTATGACAGTGTGGTTTTATTGTGTTCACTGCTTTCCCAACACTGAAATTTTAGGTAAGTGGACAGATTAGATATTATTTAGCCTTTTTTGCCCCCCAAAAATGAAAAAAATGTCTTTCAGTGTGAATTATATATATATTATACACTTTTAGTATTAATTATATCGCCTATATATATATATATATATATATATATATATATTGTAAATTATTAATTTTATATTTTAGAACACTGAATTGGGCAAATAGTCAAAA